TTTACTATCTTTGTTGATATGTCATCTTGGAATGATAATTGGTTGAATATTGGTTATTCTTATTTTGGTGATCCATGTCCATATTGTGGAGGACCACACTTGTGGCAAAATTGTGAATCTCAATCTTATGGGTGGAATATCTGTAATAAGTGTGGTGGTCAAGGTGGTCATTGGGATGGTTGTCCTAATTCTTATTATCCTTCTCAGAGCTCTTATTATGGTGTTTCTAACAATGTTTATGAGTTTAATAGGAGCAATGAAGTGGAGGATGAGGACCGTGCGGCCCATATTATGGATATGATGAGGCAAATAGCCAAGCAACAAGATGAAAATCGAAAGTCTATACAAAGAATTAGTGAAACAATCATGAGAATGAAGGCCGAGGCGGAGGAAGTGGCTGAAGAGAGCGAGTTCCCACCAGAAGATAATTTAGAAAAAACATACATAGTGAGCCAATCTTGGCTAGAGGAACAAGCTCAACTGATAAAATCTCATGAGTTTCTATGTGATGGTCTTTCAAATATGACAAAACAGCTGATAGACGAAAGAATTGAGCTCAGGAAAGAGATAGACCAATTTGGCTCAGTATCCATGACCTGCAGACTAAATTAAATAAAAAGGTTGAGGTGTTTGATGCCCTACAACCAATTGTTATGAATACTGGCCAGCGTGTAGAGCAGAACGAGGAATTTCAACTATTTGACCAAAATAATATTAGTGATGCCGAGGTTGAGAAAGAGTGCAAAATTGAGGATGTCAAAAATAATGCAATTTTGGAGTTGAAGTGTATTGGACCTCATTCTAAACATTTTTCAACGTTGTTCTTGGTTGGTGATACGAGAATTGATCCATTTGAGCATGTGGAGGAGTCAATGGATGAGGAACAAAGTGTTTATATTCTAAAATTTGCCAAACTAAGGAGACAAATCGACATTCCTCACTTAAAGGCCAAGAAGTGCAAGATGTGATACCGATTACTTGATTCTTTTATTTTTACACCACCGCCGCAAGAATGTGACACAAAAGTTGATGCAAAATTGGGGGTGCAATTTGTATCTTCAAAGTGGAAGGAAAAGTCGTGAAAGTGATGGTGTCGTGCCATGACGTTAAATCAAGCGCTTGGAGGCAACCCAATTTTATTTTTATTTTTTTTTACTTTTGTTAACTTTTTTTATTGTGTTATTTTTTGTAGGAGTAGAAGCATAGAGTCAAAGCCAATAGGCATCTGTAAAAGCGAGTTAAATGGTGAGAACTAAGTGTGGGGTGCCACACAAAGGACGATCCCTAGGGGAAGTCTGAGTACCTCGTGAGCTGCTATTGCTTCGGCCTTTAGCCTACCAGGGAATCTGTTTTACCCTCTTGCTATTTTCAGTGTACATTGAGGACATTGCACAATTTTAAGTGTGGGGTGAGGAGATTGTGTGGGTGAATTTTTGTGCTATATTAGCTTAGTTGTAGTACTCGTTTTTAGTGTAGAGTTTTTGTTATAATATATATATATATATAGAGAGAGAGAGAGAGAGAGAGAAAATTGGACTTTTCCCTACGATGAATATCCTAGACAGTTTTCTTGAGGGTTTTAAGTCTAAAGAAAAAGGACAAAAGATTTACTTTATAGGTATTGTAGCAATTTCCCCTTGGTTTTTCTTTGTGCCGCGGTTTTTTTCCAAGGGTTTTGTCTGAACCGGGTATAGTTAGTTTTTATTTGTTAGAATTAGGAAAACTGTTGCTGAGAATTGAATTGAAGCAACATCTTTTAACTGTCATGCCTTGAGAATAGTGAGTACTTTGGTTGTGACGCTTAGGCTCAATTTTTGACTCTTGAATAAGTACCTTAAATCGATCGATCTTAAATTTGCTTAACTACTTTGACTAGAGGATCTTGATGAGTCCAAACCTGATTTACTTATGTGTCATGTGTGTGTTTTGTGTTATTCTGTGCATTGTGTTTTATGTCTAGAACTTTCCCCATGTGTTTGCAAAGCAAAGTAGTAGTTTTGTTCAGTGTTGGAAGTGATATAAGTATTTCTTTGTGAGCCATATATATATTTTACCAGCCTAAATGTTATATATCCTAGTTAACCCCGTTGAGCCTATAATCCCGTTTCTTTGGTAACCACATTACAAGTCGTTGCCCTTTGTTTTGAATCGGCCATATATTTGAACCTTGTCACTTCTCATGAGCATTTGAATTGTTTTGACCTTGTAAAATTTAAATTGTGGGGTGGTTAGTTTGGATTTTGAGTGGAACTAATGAAATAAGGAGAAAGGTGCAGTGCTTTGAAAAAAAAAGTAAGAGCCACTTGAAAAGAAAAAAAAAAGAAAAGAAAGAAAAAATAGTTGTATTGCTGTGAAAAATATTCTTTGATAGTGGTGACTCTTGATGTAATTGTGCTTAAAGAAGTATGGGGTAATATACATTGATGTGAAGGTGGAGTTATGGTTTGACATAAGTGTAGGGTTTAAATGTTAAAGTGTATGTATTCAAGTGCTTAGCGAGGTGTAGTCACTATTACATCCAAATGTATCCTACACGACCCGCAACCTACATTACAATCAAATAAAGTCCTGCTTGAATGAGCTCGATTATTAGAGTAATACACTACGGCCAAGCCTATATTGCATCTTTGTAGCATATGAATGTTATTTCTGAGAGTGAAAGAATTCTTTCTATCTTGAGTTCCTAATTGTTCTTAATTTGTATTGTGTGTGGAACTACTCTCTTTTGTTGTGTGAGCGCACTTGATTCATGGAGGAAAGGTAATGTCAGTGACCTCTATGTTAGAGTAAGTGGGTGAGTTGTGAATAATGCGTGGTACTTGTGAGTCAAATCTTGAGGTAAAGAGGTTACACTCTTGTGCTTAGTCTATTTTAAATATTCTTGGTGTGATGAGTTAGGAGAATTGTTTAAAAAGGTCGTGACTATATAAAGTGTAGTTCGATTGCTCGAAGACGAGCAATGGTTTAAGTGTGGGTCTTGATGATAGGTTATAATTGCGTGTTTTAGTCGCTTATTACACTCTAATTTACTGCACTTTAATTGAGTTTGAGCCTTAATCGCCAGTGTTTTGTACTAAATATGTGTTTTATGCCTTGTAAGAGTGATTCCGATCTATGTAGGCATTATAGAATGAATTCAAGTGATTTAGATATTTGAAGTTTGAGTAAAACCCCAAGGAATTAAGTCGGGATCGTGTTTGGGGATCAACGGATGATAGTTAAGAAAGAAACGAAGAATCGAGCAGGCGTACGGGCATTGTCTAGTAAAATGCACATAACTTTTTGCTCAGAAATCCGTTTGTGTTCCACAATATATCATTAGAAAGCTATTTTAAAGGGCTAAAACTGTCATGTTTTGCATTTTCGCAAATGCGCACTACTGCGGCACATGGCGCGGTGCAGCGTGCGCCGCGCCTTTGGAATTTTCCTGCAGTCTGTCTTAATCAGCTCTCTAAACTTCCCCACAAGCACAGGCGGCGCGCCTGTACAAATTTTACTGAGCCAAGTCCTATTTCGTGCAGGAAAGGGTGTTTCGTCTAGGCCCGACCCTACTTGGTATAAATACATATAAATTTTGAGGACTTTTAACAGATCTTAGACCTAGGAGGAACACACACCACGCTTGAAGGAGGATTCTAACTAGTTTTTCTTCTCTTCTCTTCCTTTAATCTCATAGTTTATTAGTTCTAGAGTTTTAGGGATGCTATATGAAAGTTGTAGTTTGAATCTTGAATTGTTCTTATTATTTTATCATATTGGTTTATTTATTCAATCTTGCTCTTAATTATTTGATTGCTTGATCACCAATTGAATACTATCTAAGAATCTAGGATTGAACTCGAGAGAGGAAATTCTAGATTACATATAAGATTGAGTAGAGCAAGATCTTAGCTCTGGGGGGGGGGGGGGAGGTTGTGGTTAGGATAGGAATATACCTAATCGCCTTGCTTGGTTACTATACAGGAATTATAAATCCGTTCTTGTTAATTCTAATTCCATGGGAATATAGGCGTTAGATTAGCTTGAATAGGCGATTGGGAGAAGGCTACGAGCAATATTAACCCTGTCAACCAATAAACTAGATAAATTAATTAGACGATTTAAGTGAAAAACTCAACGGGATTGTTAGCTAACCATAGCTCTGGAATATTCACTCACATTGAATTTGTCTCTATAATTCGCCAACTTTTTTTCTCTAATCTCTTAATTTGTTACTGTAGAGTAATTTTAGTTAGATATTCATACGTTAGGTTTCACTTGAATAGATTAATTGTTTGGTTTAATTTAGTTGATAGTTAATCACAAGTCATTGTGGGTACGATATCTAGACTTACAATCCTATATTACTTGTCGACCACGTATACTTGCGTGTGCGTTTGGGAGCAACAATACTCTTCTTCCCTACCTATGTTTTTGAGCCGCACAGGTTATGTGAGTATCTTCTTACTTAAAAAGATCGTCACTACTTCACCGATGTTAGTCAAGATGCTTACTGAGTATATGAGGTCAGTTGTACTCATACTACACTTCTGCACTTTACGTGCAGATATTTGGAGCTTAGCTACTATAGATGATAGAGGCTAGCATTGAAGTTGTACCAGCATTCCAGATATAAGCTACCAATTAATCATAGTAGTTTAAGACATATTTCTGTTTATGCAAATTTCAAACATATATTGTATATTCTTTATACCAGCATCGTAAACCTAAATCTTAGTGGCTCATGACTTGTACTACTAGTCGTTAGAATAGTTGTATGAATTTCTGTTATTTTTTTTTTTATTGATTATTAACGACCTTCATTCGTGTTATGTTATTTATTCTTTGGCTTACCTGGCACGTTGGAGTTAGGTGTCAGCACGACTAGGTGGGATTTTGGATCGTACAACCCGATTTCAGATTTTTTATAAATAAACATTAAAAAAACAGTATCTGCCGACTGCCGGTGTCTAACCGTATATACACTATTAATTCATGGAAGAAACGTAAAGCAAAAGGGAGACGTCAAAATAAGTTGCATTACTAGCTAGTTGCTTATTATTATTATTATTATTATTATTATTATTATTATTATTATTATTATTATTATTATTATTATTATTCTTTTTTTACACACACAGCTCTGCATAGATGGTAAGCTAAAGTACTCATTTAGATGTTATAATACTTTCCAACCCTTGCCACCTCGTTTACTGTACTGCTTCAGCCTTCCGAAAAACATGACAATAATCAGAATGAACTTTCCCATATTACTCCACTTTCCAGCAAATCCATATGCTGCATCCTTGCAATGGTTATCTGGTTTTAATTGCCTTGCACAACTATAGCCCATTGACATTCCAACAGTCCCATATGCACTGCAAAATTATCATTAGATACATGAGTTTGAATGAAAAAGCATTTTACTTTATATTTTTCTTCTTTCTTTTTTGTCCAAGAATCTATAGCTTTAAATTTTTGATGATCCAAAATACTATATGTATTGCGGTTAATAAATTGTCTTCACTTATTAGGTTAGGAGTAACCATCTTCACAAATTGTGGAGTGCATACATTTAAGACTCATAACGCAGTTAAGAAAAGGAAATTAAAGATAATACCTCTAGTGAAAGAAGAGATGCCGTGAAAAGTATTATTTCCTTTGTCCCAATTTATGTGTCATAATTTAGGTTTTTAGAGTCAAATTTTTAAATCTTAACCATGAAATCAGACATAGAATCTTTAAATTTTTGATGTAAAATATATATATATATATATATATATATATATATATATATATATATATATATATATATTGCGGTCACAATTAAAAATACTATCAGTCATAATTATTAACAATTTATTTAAAAAGCATATGAAAAAATTACCGTCAAAGAAACTTGTTTGACTCTCGAAATTTGAAATCACTACATAAATCGGGGTGGAGGGAATAAAATTTATGTGTGTCTAAATCCAAATTTACACTTAGAGGTTGGTCTACTAACCTGATGACTTCAAAGACGATGTTGAGTACATTGAAATTGAGGGGATCATTTTTCATTTTCTCTCTCTCTGTAATACAAATAAGAATAGTGAAAATGACCAAATAAGAAAGCTGTGAGAATGATATGTACTCCACGAAGCTGCTCCCTTTTCTCTTGTTCATTCTTTCTGTAGTATCCAAGCACTCTTCATTACTATCAACTGGCAAAAAAGAAGTATAGGATGATAGATACCTGCAGTGACAAAGCAAATGAATCTTAGAATTTTACTTTACAATAACAAGCTTTAGAGATTTATTACAAATTACTGTGTATAACTATTAGAGCACTTACAGTTTGTTGTTCTCGAATGATATTATAAATTAAGACATTTTGGCATCTTATTCACCTTCTCTTTTCATAGTGGGAGATGATGAGAATAAGACTTTTTATTGCTGATAAAAAAGTGGGGAACACACAAGATAATCAAATATGCAAGTGAATTATGTATCGAGAACCTTATTGGAGAACACTATCCATTTCGGTGTATTTTATAATAATAATTACTTCCTATTCTATCCATTTTACGCAACACACTGCTGAAGATAATTTTAAAAAATAAAATTATTTTCTATAGCAACTTATAGCTTGTTTGGATGGTTGTTACTTATTGTATTGTGTCGTATTGTTACTTTAAATACAATGTTTGTTTTGATTGTTACTTAAATTTTATTGTATCGTACCGTTAATCTGTCGTTACGTAACGACGAAAAGTGTCACTTTATGTAACGACCGATTTGGTGTGGCCGCGTCATTATAATCCTTTATCATACCTTTTTATATAATAATTCTACTCCGTACCGTAATTTTTCTTTGTAATACTGCAAGTTTATTCTTCATATTGCCGGTACATGACATCATGAAAAAACGGCAAACGATACAATTTATCCAAATATTGTATTCATCAAACGATACAGTACAATATAATAAAATGCAATATAATACATTAGGAAACGATACGTAACAGCCATCCAAACAAACTATTAAGCAGTTAGACGAACTGATCACACGTTTCAAAATGGTATAAGAGCAGACGGAGGAAACAGGCGTAAACATAAGTCAAAAAATAGATGAGGATTATTATGTGTATAAGAAAAACGAATTAATTTGCTGCATCTGAAAGAAAACGAGGATATGTTCCTCTTAGATCTTTCAATATCTGAGGCTGCTCATGATTTGTTTTCCGATAGTTTCAAAGAATGGAACAAAGGGAAAGCTTGACAGATAATACTATTAATTCTTGGAATACCAAAAAGTAGAATAATTCCATATCTCTTCTACTCAAGGATCGAAATCGTATTCTCTCTTTTCTAGTTACTTTCCTTGACGCTGGTAAAATCACCATTACACTTTTCCAAATAGTATATGTTTAATACGTGTCAATCAATCATGGTCTCATGGATCAAGAAACTTGCTGAAAAACACTCTGTAATAGCTTAGCAAATCTTTTATTTTTATATTACTGGGTAGTAATTGCTGAGTCGAGCTTTTCTTGCTAATATTGTATATTGCATGTATACAAATTGCACCTATGTTTAGAATGGAAAAATATTTTGCTTTGAAATATTATTTTGTAAACAATTTTCCAAGTGTCTGATATAATTGCACCTATGTTTAGAATGGAAAAATATTTTGCTTTGAAATATTATTTTGTAAACAATTTTCCAAGTGTCTGATATTGTATAAAAGCATGTGACCATGTATGGTAATCGTATAAAGTGGAGGTCTGGTATAATAATAGTTATTTGATGATAATTCTGAAGGACGACAAATGTCTAAATATCGATTGAAGGAAGTGATATAAGAAACTATAATAATTGGATATCAACAAAGAATTTACTTTTCGGTCGTATTTTAATTTATACATTATAGATTTACATTGGAAGGGTCAGGCTCAGGGCCCCCTCTGTATCCTTTTGGCCTATCAGCAATATATTCCCCTTGACTACCCCTCAAAGAAAACAAATTCCATTTTTAACTGATGAAAAATGATTTTCCTCTTTTATTGAATATATTTATCACATATTTTATATCAGTAGTGTTTAAAAGAAGAGGAGGGATTTAGATTTTAAGTTTTATATGGATAAAACATTTAAAGTTTTAAGCGTTGCACTTATTGTAGGGAAAATATTATAAGCTATGCGTATTGCAATAATGTTCTTTATGAAATAATTAGTTCTTTATTTACTCAATTCGATAAAGTTTTATTTTAAACAGATCTTATTTCGAATTAATTAATTACACTATAAGAAGCCTTATTAATTAAATTTGTGGTTCCTGGAGTACCCGAATAATTAAAAGATAAAAAATTATTTTCTTGGTGGAAAAAAAATCCAACAGGTTGAAGGGTTTTAACCCAAAAACTGTGTAGTATAAATTTTTGGGATTTTCCACCTTGATGGCGGCCAATTTTTGTGCATGTCTTCCTAGAGAAATCTACCCACTTGAATTTTGCAATTTCCCAGTAACAAAGCAGAAGAACGTGGAACTGCTGGGATCATGATTAGACTTGTGAGGCAGAAGTTGGTGGCGTTTCCGTAGAGTTATTGTGGAATGGTGTGTTATGTAATTGACGAATTTTGTTCTAGAGGTAACTCTTGTAACTATATATGTGCTAGTTTTCTAGTATAGATGTGATTTTGATACTGCTTCCGCTTGTTTTTAAAGTTATGGGTTTAATTTTTGCGAATGTAATTTAAACTATACTAATAAACTGCTAAGTTCAACTACAATATAAGAATAAAGAACTAGTAGTACAACAGAAAGAAATGACAGATTAAAAGTGGTAGACTCACATCATTAAGGCGAATAATACTAAGATTGCTGGAGTAAGGGTTGAAAGATCGAACACAGATTCACCAGTATGCCTTGTATTCACAACTTCAAATAATGCTCCGACCAGCTTCTCATAAGAACTCAATCCAGCAGTGGCTTCAGAATTCCATTCCAATGAACAAAAGACAACAAACGGAATGGATATGAATCCCAGAACAGTAGTTGCAATAGCCATGGTTTCCAAATTTGGAAAAATATGTGAGTATCCTACTCGTTTTGAGTTCTTCATGATATACTCAAACTCTCCTCTCTTTGTGATTTTCCAAAGAAACCAAATAGTGAGGCGTAAGCAAGGAGCATACAATGTGTTTCCAAAAAGGACTTGAGGGATAAGAATGAGAAGAAGGCCTGAATTTTTCTTGAAAACCATCATGTTTTCATTTGTAGGGACAAACCCACAATTTGCAAATGTTGAAACTGTGGTGAAGAGGGAAAAAGTATGCAAGTTAAGCCCTTTTTCTACGAGAACTTGTTTTGCACTGGGAATAATGCTTATGTAGATAGAAACTAAGGAAGAACCAAGAACAACAACACATAGAATATAACCAAAAACCACATAACTCAAGAATCTTAAAGACTTCAATTTGACAATTGCCTCACTGTCCTCCATAGAATTGATTATTGCATGTTCTAAATTATTATCCTCTTTTTCATGTCCTAGCTCAAGATGATGGATAGTGTTCCTAGTAGAGTTTGAATTGTCGTGACAATCTATGCTAGTAATAGAGTTTGAAGATTCAATTTTGTTTTGTAAAACCGTTTTTTCCATGGAAATTTTGGGCTTCATGAGTTGAAGTCTAAGAAAAGAGGTAAAGGCCTCCCCACCAAGAAACATTAACATGGTTATGAAGACAAGTTGAGCATTCGAGAAAACCTCCATTTCAACAGTGGACATGCTAGAAACTGTGGCAGCAGAAACAGAAGTGAAAAATACATCTAGGTTTTGAGGCCTAAATGATGGTAGAGTTCTAGGATTTGAGACAGTCAAAGCTAAGAAACCTAACAATGAAAGGATCATGAAATAACTTACTTCAATCCAAAAAGGCTTTACGCCAAGATTGAGAATATGAGAGATAGAGAAGAAAAAACCTTGGCGGTAAGATGATGAAAACAGCTTCATTTTCATCTTAGTTAATCTTTACTTGGTAATAAACTGGCTTGACTCTCTAAGGCCAAGGGCTGATTTATATTAAGAATTATGAAGTAGTGGAGATTGACTAATTAATCCGAAATTATCAACGTGTAAGGCTCGAGGAGAAATGCTCCCTGCCATGTTTTGGCAGCCCGGTGCACAAAGTTCTCGTTATACGCGGGGTCAGGGGAAGGATCGGACCACAAGGATCTATTGTACGCAGCCTTACCCTGTATTTTTGCAAGAGACTGTTTCCACGGCTCGAACCCATGACCTCCTCCCAAGTATGTAAGCTCTAAATCCCAACAAAAATTAGTGTATCAGAATATAATAGTTCTTGGAAAATCAAAAGTAATACTTTTATCATAGGTAGTGGAAAAAGATGCTATGCCATTTGAACAACGTGTTACAATATAGGATGCATCTTGTATTCTTCAATACTGGCAGAATTGGTTGAAATCTTGACCATAACACAAAAATGGAATGCAACAATTTTACGCAGAGTAGGCAACTCAAAAGCGTTATCATTCATCAAATACAAGGAAACTATATCCTGATTCATTCTTTCCTAATTAACCCAATAGTGAATATTTAAAAAAAAAAATTTAGTGTGATACTTCATTCTATTTTATATGATAATATTTGACAAAATATAAATTTAATATCTAAAAATAATATGAATATATATATATATATATATATATATATATATATATATATATATATATATATATAATTCTAACATTATGTACGGTTCAAAAATAAAATACAATGCCACATAAATTTTAAGACGCCCATGTCTCATGATTGACACTTTTTGATTGAATCTAGCCCACATCTAATAAAATTTGACTTTTGAATCATCTGCTATGTATCACCTTAGTATTACCATCTATAACACTCTCAGCATGAAATTTAAAAGAAAAAGCATCATTGCATGCCATGTCATATATTGATTTGTTTGCCTGGATAATTTCAGCCACAAGTTAAATCCAAGTGGAAGTTGCACTTAAAGTTCTTTTTTTCCTTTTTTTTTTTGCTTTTTGGTGTATCACTTAATGTTCATGCAAACCTAACCTAAGCATCATATACTAGAAAATGTAGATGAATGTATGCCATTCTGTACATATGTTTGTGCGATTTTTTATTGTTTTTTCTCTTTATCGATTAATGTGTTTTGAATACATCTTTTAGCAACAAGTAGAATGGAACCGCATTTTCATTTGAAAACAGTATTGCTGTTGAGTAGAATGAGATTAAGAATTTGAATTGTCCGCATTCTGGTCTGACATGGTTTGGAGGCAGCTTTTCTTTTTTCCTAATTAAAACTGGGCTTCCTTTAGTCAATGATGTGCAAGAAGTTACACTTTAATTTGGCACCCCAAACTTTATACATGTCACGATCCGGATTTCCCATCCTCGGGAGTCATGATGACGCCTATTAGTGAAAGCTAGGCAAGCCAACCAATTGAATTATTTATCTTGTTTCCATTTTAATCCGTTAACAATTATGAACCAACATTTAATAAACAACAAATTTAATAAGCGGAAGACTGAATTGCAATGTTTTAATAATACTACCAATACCAATCCATAACAAATCTACCCAAGACTGGTGTCACAATTTCACAGACTGTCTAGGAGTACTACAAATAAAGGTCAGAAAAAGTAATACAACACTGTCTCTGGGAATACATGAAAGAAACAGGATAAAAAGATAGAAGGAGACGCCAAGGCCTGCGGACGCCTGCAGGACTACCTCGGGTTGCCTGATGAACAAGAAGCAGCAATCTCACTGCGGTTCGAAAGCTATAGCACCGGGATCTGCACAAAAGAGTGCAGAGTATAGTATCAGCACAACCGACCCCATGTGCTGGTAAGTACCAAGCCTAACATTGGCGAAGTAGTGATGAGGCTAGGACCAGACTACCAAATAAACCTGTGCAGTTAAATCGTATACAACGGAAAAATAAAGGCAGAAATTTACAATTTAAAAGTAAGAGGGGGGGGGGGGAGACATACTGCGGAGATATCAAGTAACAACAGGAAACAAATAAATAACCTTAAAGAACACCATAACTCAAATATCAACAATAATCAGAAAATCAAGACAAGTGCATGGCATCACCCTTCCTGCTTTTACTCTCGTCCTCACCAAATAATAATATAATCGGCACGGCATCACCCTTCGTGCTTTTACCTCACAGAATCATGGCACTGAATGATTCTTCGTGCATTATCACTCATATAAAGGCACGAAATGGTACATCGTGCGGCACGGCATCACCCTTCGTGCATTAACACTCTCTCACAAAATTTCATGCACGACATCACCCTTCGTGCTTTAACCCTCTGTCACCAAAACAATGCACGACATTTGTCACGCCTCGAACCTGGTCCTAGACGTAACACGACACTCGGTGCCTGACTACATGTGATCGAGCGAACCAACTGGCTGGCTGAATCAACATGTGGTATCATAACATACTGAATGCGGAAGATAAACTAACACATGCTGATATACTGAAAGTCTGGATGATATAAATCAAAGTGCGGAAATACTAATACAATTCTGAAACATATTTGTAGCCAACATAGCTTAATATGAAAAGCCTGTGACTCTGTCTAACTGTTACTCTAGTCTATGAAGCCTCTATTGAAGTACTGAAAACACTGTATATCTGTAAACACTGAAAGACTGTAAAGTAATGATAATGCCCCGAAAGAACTGGGGATCACCAAATAGCTGGTACAAGAATCCTAGCACTCTGCATCGTCAACCTGTAAATCATTACCTGCATCGTGAGATGCAGGCCCCGGGCAAAAAGGACGTCAGTACATTTGAATTGTATTGGTATGTAAAACAACTGAAAGAAAGAACTATAAATGCTGAAACTGAAACTAAGCTGGTAACTGAGAATTGATAATTGATAACTGAAATGTTAACTATTGAAACTGAAACTGAAGTGATAACTGAAAAGATAACTGATAACTAATAACTGAACTGATAGCTGAAAAGATAACTGATAACTGATAACTGAACTGATAATTTAAAAGATAACTGATAACTGATAACTGAACTAATAGCTGAAAAGATATCTGATAACTGATAACTGAAAAGATAACTGATAACTGATAACTGAACTGAATAAAGGAAGTAAGGATATGAATACTCCCTCTTCTGAATGATGAACAACCTGTTTATCTAAATAAGCTACGGCCTCGGGCCCAATATATATGTGCACAAGCTACGGCCTCAGGCCCAAGTATACGTATACATAACTACGGCCTCAGGCCCAAAAATGCATAAAGCATATACTACGGCCTCAGGCCTAAACATGCATAAAGCATAAACAATAGCCTCAGGCCCAAGTATGCATAAAGCATATAAACTACGGCCTCAAACCCAAATACAGGTGTTCAACATTCAGGAATTTAAAATAAGAAACTGAGAATCATACTGCAATACATGATGGTGAAATACTGAATCACATTGAGTTACATGATACTGGAATACTGGATCATACTAGGTTACATAATACTGACATACTGAATGGGACTAGACTGAGACATGTATTCTTGAACTGATTATGAATACTGAAATTTCAACTGTATATGGCATACTGAGTAATCTATACTAAGACTCGGGGGCATCAAACCCAAGTCTATATTGAATACGCACTGAGCTCACAACGTTCAGAATGAAAGTCATGAGCGAGTTATGAAGCTAGAGAATAGAAGTTATACAACTATTCAAGGAATTAGGCTTAACTATATTTCTGAGGCAATTGGTAACGTCATAAAAGAAACGTAGTGTAGGGAGAATTAATAAAATTCCCAAACATAGAGAGTTAGCCTCACATACCTTAAATTCCTTCTCTTAGAGCATAATACAACATTCGCCAACCCTTTCAACTTTAATCTATATCAATACAATTCAAAGGGATTCCAAATTAGCACAATATCCATGTTTTGGTCACATAGGCATTTTATCAAACACTTGGTGAGTATAAAGCTTCATAATCCCTATCAATGTGTTTCTACACCCAATAACCGATTATCTTGCTCTTGGATAATCTAAAGTCAACTGAATGGCTCGATTAGTAGGAGTATTACACGTAGGGGC